TCATTTGTGCTAGATGAGGAAGGCAAATTCAACGTATTTTAAGGGTGTTTTATTCAATATGAGTAAGATTCTCAAAATTAAATTTTATTGTTAAAAGACAGAAAGAAATCTTCCTTTCCAGGATTGTCTCTCTCTCTCTCGCACACACACATTCGCGCGTGCGCACACACACACAAGCACACGCCTTTTATTTCTCTGGGCGTAAAGCATGGCGGACATCTGGCTGCCAGGCTCAGTGTTCTCCCCCACAGGCATAGAACAACATCATTGTTTGAATATGTTCTTTAGAGGTTGACATTTGGTGAATTTATCTGCTCTCCTCCAATAAGGGAGAACATTCCAACATTTCTATGCAATGTGTAAACCACAGATTAATTGCACAAATTATATAAATTATCCTAAAACTTTTGGGTAATGTTTGCCATGTCAACACTGTAATTGAGCTGACTGGGCATGTGGAAAGCCTGCATGTGGCAAGCGACAGCCCATGATGCGGATGGAGAGGCGATTTGCATCTACCTCTACTTAGACTAAGTACTGCAAGGTCCCCAGTCAGTAAGCAGAACAGGTAATGTGAGACTCATCAAAATAAAAAAACAGCAGTGGGCTATAGTCCTCCACATTACTACCTAATATGGAGGGGTCTGTAGCCCTCTCCCAAATACCAGGTGAACATCCAGTGTGTGGGTGGTGGTGGGGGAAAAAATGAAAGCTACAAGCTTTACTGTTTCAGCAAAAAACCCTCTTCCTTCCTTGTGAAATCAGCCACAGTAGGGAAAAAAAAAGATTTTAACTGATTTGGGTCCACATCAGCTGAACTCCATGGTTTGGACTGAGCGGTGACTCCTCACAGGAGGAATCCCACAGGTCATGTCAAATTTGCCTTGTCATTTCAGAAGACATGTTATTGTAATATCTGGATTTGTGATAGACGAGAACAGAGCAATGACCCAGAGTATGCCTTTCCGTCAACAAGCACAAGCAAAATATCTGTAGCAGAGCGTGTGGAGTAACCTCTTAGAGGTTATGTTTGGAGTGCTGAGGACTCCAAACATTTAGGATTCACAGGCAATCGCATCCCTCCTCCTTACAGTGGAATGGAAACCAGAACAGGGGATGGTGAAGTACTCCCTGAGGAAGAAAGGACCCGAGGCAAGCTGGCACCCGCTTTAGGTCAGAGGCTGAGCTCCCGAGGAAGCGTCAGCTCTTGCCTCCCATGAGCACTGTGTGGCATTATGTTAGCAATCTCTACTTGTTTTGAAGTAACGGCAAGTCCAGCCACTGAGGCTGGCTTAACCATCTGCCTTCCAATAAAATGTGCCATTGTTATTTTATTTTTTACGTTTTTCCGTTCAGAAGAACCCTAAAGCCTCTACTGTTTCCAGCAAGAGTTGAATTTGGACAAAAGGATTGTAATGGGGGGGTAATTTGCTGAACCTCCAAAACTTTCATTCAGGCTTTCCCAAATCTGTATAAATGCTCTCAGAGTCAGTGGAACAGACTTTTTACCAATGGTAGAGGAGTGTTGATAGTTATTCAATGCAAATTGTATAAATTAGGCGTTTGGTGAATGAGTGCAGTCTCTGACTTAGGGGGGATTCCCTTCTGTGAGATACTTGAGTAGTGAAGGAGCTCAAGCTTAGACCTCTGGAAGACATGGGAGAAGAGCGCAGGGCAGGAAAGGAGAGTGCGAATGTCTAAACCAGGCAAGATTTGTTTCTAAAGAAGAAATTCCATTGCGCCTCCGCATGCTTTTAAAGCGAGGGGCAAGTGAAAACTTGATTTTGTTTCAGTGAAAGGAAAAATTCCCATTGCGTTCAACAGGGCTGGGATTTCATCCAAGACCTCCACATCATTCTAAGACACTCATGTAGCCCACATTTCATCTTTTACAAAGAGTATTCTGTTTCCAGAAATTATCAATGTTTTCTAATTTTCTGACTTCATCATCCGCAATGCCCCTGTCGTGACTTCTTTTTATACAACACATTTTTGTTCTTTTTTTTTTCTTTCAGTCTTGCACATACTATCGTTATGCCCCCCAAGGATCAAAGAATCATAGCATAAGGTAAAAATATCTCATTGCAAAGAATAAAGACATCCTTTTTTATAAACTTTATTTTTACTTTAGTACTTAATAAAGTAAAATACCTGGATAAAATCTGGCAGTGGAAGAAATGCGAGATATGTTCCTGATTTGACCGGGGACAGGATTTCACCCCACATTTTTATGGGGAATATTTAGCACACAGGCATTCCACCCCTCTGTATCCCCACCCCCATATATTTCAAAGCAAGAACAGAAGGCAATGCAAAAGGAGCTGCCACCATCCACCAGATAATTCTTTCAAACATCTCTCAGCATTCTAAACCATAATCTAAACTTATGTCCACATAACAAATAACGGCCCTTTGAAATGAACTGAGAAACTGTAAAGCCATTAAGAAAATGTGCCATTAAGGAAAGGATTTCAGCATTTCCTATGAAAAAGGTTCACAATGTATGTATTTCCACATGTTCAGAGAAATGATTAAAGTGTTTATAGCTTTTGTAATTGGTCTCTCTCAATTTAAAAATATAGGCTTTTTTTAAAGTTACATTTCTCTGCTGCTCTTTGTCTAGAATAACATTAATGAAGTCCCATTTTCTCAGTTGCTGGAGGTAGAAAATAGGGAAGTGATATGTTTAAGAGAATGTGTTCTTGAAACATGCCGTCTGTCTGCCCGTATCCCAGCAAACATGGCCTCTCGCTAACATGTCCATTAGACGCAGCGTGCTCCTGCAGGGTCTGGGGCTGCTGTGGTTCACGTGGTGGTGGAGGGTATATGGCAGCAGGGGAGGGGGCTCATTGTCCCTTGAAGGGCTTCCTTCTGCATGCCACTGCCCATGCTGGTACAGAGAATTCGAAGGAAGTCACATAATGTTTTTTTCCACTACATTTCCACCCTGTTTGGGTTCAGTCGAGGATGGTCAGCATAGTGAGAAAGCCAAACTCCGTCATTAAATCCCTAAAAGAGGAGAAAAGGAGGAGGGAACTGGTAAAGAACTCCCTTTCTGAAGCACACTCAGCCCTTTCTAGGAGAGCTCACGCTCTGCTCCGTTAAATGCTATAAACACACTGGCTGCACTGATAAAAACCACATGGCCTTGTATTCACTGAGTGAGTGAGTCAGTAATGGGTTGGTCCTGGAGGCCAAAGCCACTTTCATCACCTGCAGATCATGGCCTTTGGAGTGGTTTGTGGCACATCTATGTCAGTCTGGAAGAGGAAGATTTTCACCCAATTTCCAGATGACTACGTTTGTTTTACAGATAAGAATATATACACAGATGTATAGCTTTCTTTTTTTTCCCTGTAGCAACTGTCAATCAGGTCACATGTTAAATTTTTTTCATTCTAGTATTTTCTTTTGTGCTGTGTAGTGGTTTAACCCCAGCCGGCAACTAAGCACCACACAGCCACTTGCTCACTCCCCCCTGGAGGGATGGGGGAGAGAATCGGAAGGGTAAAAGTGAGAAAACTCCTGGGTTGAGATAAAGACAGGTTAATAGGTAAGGAAAAGCCACGCAGGCAAGCAAAGCAAAACAAGGAATTCATTCACTCCTTCCCATCAGCAGGCAGGTGTTCAGCCATCTCCAGGAAAGCAGGGCTCCATCACGTGGAACGGTTACTTGGGAAGACAAACGCCATCACTCCGAACGTCCCCCCCTTCCTGCTTCTTGCCCCAGCCTTATATGCTGAGCATGACGTCATATGGTGTGGAATATCCCTTTGGTCAGTTGGGGTCAGCTGTCCCGGCTGTGTCCCCTCCCAACTCCTTGTGCCCCCCCAGCCTCCCCCAGCCTACTCGCTGGTGGGGTGGGGTGAGAAGCAGAAACGGCCTTGACCCTGTGTCAGCACTGCTCAGCAGTAACTAAAACATCCCTGTGTTATCAACACTGTTTTCGGCAGAAATCCAAAACACAGTCCCATACTAGCTACTATGGAAAAAATTATCCCAGACAAAACCAGCACGTGCTGTTAAGATAAAGGTTTAGGTTTTGTTCTAATTGTAAAAGCATATATCAAATGTTTCATTATTTCTTTTCATAATACCCCAGGAGAGGGTGTTTTACCTTTCCTTTTGTAAATTAGCTTAAGTAGAAATTGTCAATCTGGAATTGACAGGTATTTGTTACAGACAACAAGGCATTGTTCCCACTTTGCTTCACCCACCAACACAGGTGCTGCTGTCACATGTCACAACAATGGGGAAACTTATTAAACTATGAAGAGTAATAATACTGTAATATAAAGGTGCGAGGGTAAAAAATCTGAAAGTGTGTTTGCTGGCTGAAGGTAGGAAATCCTGTCCTTCATGTAGCTGATCTGACAGCTCTCCGCCTCTCCCACGAAACTCTTCTCTTCCGGCTCCTTCTTCCAGGACTGCCCTTATAAACCATTAACACCCCCGCTCCTCCCGCCACCCGCTCCCTCCCAAAGCTATCAGATAACAGTAAGGCAGAGTCATAATTTGATCCGTTTGGTTGCTCCTCACCTGTTGAGTTGCTGAAGGAGAAAGGCATGGGTTCTGGGGGAGCCAGGATTACTCTGGCCTAATTACAGAAAGGCTGGGCCAGTTGCTGGATTATGTTGCAGAGTGTGTTGTGACAATGCAAATATCCACAGGCATTTCTTCTGTCAAAGGCTGGCTTAGATACAGGGAATTTCCTAAGTGACTTACTAAAGAGCTCCTGTTTTGTGGACTTGTCAAAGGAGGCGACAGTGGTCTTCGCTGGGCTAGTGGTGTTACTGACAGTGGGCTCAGGCACTGTTGGCTGGAGAGAGAGGTACTCTAGAAAGGGGCTTGAGCTGCAGAATCTGTGACAGGATTCAACTCACATCATCCAGATTTGGGGTTGAATGTGAGCAAATTAGAGCATTGCCATCCTCTGACTGGCAGCAAATCAAATGGGTTCTTTGGGCTTTTTCCCTTCACCACAAAGAATGACAACAGCAACAAAAGCTGGGACAGGAGAGAGAGAAGTGACATCATCTGCAGAAAAGTTTTCCCTTTTTCTGCCTGAAGGGCTGTTTTGATTTCCAGCTGCATCTCAGGTAAGTAAGAAACATGATATTGGATCGAATGCATCAAATGCTTGTAAATGGAAATACTTGCGGTTGAGCAGAGGAAGAGACAATGCTATGCTGCCTTTTTGATATCTTTTCAGGTATTTGTAGAGACCAAACAGCTCCTGGCCTAGTTTCAAATAATAGCTGAGACATTGGTCAAGTAATTTTAGATGTCTCAGTCTCAGTGGGAGCATGGCAGTGGCTGGGCTTATATGCAATATTGTTCAATCTCCCGCACCCCTCTGTACTCTAGCCCTTCCCATAAACCCCATCTTTCCTCTTCTGTGCTATGGGAGAGCCGGTGATTTGGAGCGAGCTACGTATGCTTTATGTTTCCTGAAGATTAAAATCAGTGTGTAATACTCCATAGCCTGTCAACAGCCAGCTTGGGAAAGAGACCAAAGACCAGAGCCAAAACCAGACTGCTAGTGCAATCAAGGCCAAGATGTGCTTCTTACTTATACAAGCTAAAAGAAAACTGGCCAGGCAAGAAGTTTGTCCCTTGCAATGCAGGAAGACTGCCCCCCATCCTATGTCTGATTCCCTGTGAGTCAGACTATACACAAGGAAATCTGCAAGAGAAGATATTGCATGTATGTTTAAAATACTTCTGCCATCAGACAGGGAGAAGACTGCTGTCTGCAGTAAGTGTCAAGGCTTGGGATAAGTACCCAATGCTTTGTGTTCCCTTTGCTTTTTTTTTTTTTTTTTCCTTGGGCTACTATTAAATAGTTGTCTGAAACTATCTGCTTGTGCAGAACTGAACAAAGCGGTATGTGTTCCCAAACACTAAAAACAAGTTGTCAAGACACATCCTCAGAGACAGAGGGTCTTTTTTGTTGTTGCCCAAGAATGTCTTATTTAAAATGCAATTCCTTGTAAAGATGCAAGTGCTATTTCTTTTAAAATGTACCAGTACTGAGAATAAAGCAAGCAAAAGAGGAAATTAAAACAGTGACAAGGGAGGGAGGTCTGGCAAGTTGGCTTTCAACCAAATGACCTCTTGATAGATCAGCTGGGAGCCAGGAATGCATGAGATTACCAAGTACTAGAGAGATTTATAGTTCTTTGTTTGGTCTCTTGGTAAGTTTCTGCATATAGTCAGTTATATGATGGGCAATGATCAGGGAAAATGGTGGGCAAAAGAAATCCAGAACCCCAAATATTTTTTGTGATTCCATAAAGAAACATGAAAAGAAGGAGCTATTTAAAGATTCAGAGCATTTTCTTATTTCAATTTAACAATAAACACCCTTACTAAGAAGAAATTTTGCATAGCCCCCCAAATCTAGCTCTCTTAGGAGAAGATCTTTGCACGCTGCAAATATAGCTCCAATTGAATTTGGCATGTGAAAGTAACACAAGAAACTCTCTGTCATGGGAGTGGGAGTTTGGGTTTCTGTAATTCCCCTGAGCTGACCACCTGCAGAGAGAACATCCCTCTATGGATTGCACTAGCTAAACACATCCGCAGATTGTGCCAGAGCTCTTCAGAAAATTGTAACTTTTGCAGTTTAATCTCCAAAACTTTGAATGAGTATTTCTATTTTCTCATCATCCAGGTGATGAGGAACATCTGAGCATTTGTGGTTTATGTTATCCTGATTAAATACTAATATTATGGTGTATTAGATGCCAAGGACATTAAAATGCAAAAGCAAATGGATTACAAAATCTAGTTTATGAAGCTATCCCAGCTTAATAAGTAGTGTCATCAACTGGTTCATCAGTGTACTGATTGTTACACCCAAGTGTACCCTGAAAGTGCGACCAGTACGGTGAATCCAGAAAGAAAGGGTGATCCCAGGGTCCTTAGGACATGTAAACCTTGTTAAATAACAAAGCACACAATTTTCCATTGGGTTGAAAATGCTCTTTACGAATAATGGGACCCTGGCATTTTGAAACAGAAAAATCTTTAAGCATGAGTAACAAGGAGACCTTTAGACAAGGCAAAGGTTCTGGCAACAGTTTGGTTTTAAAATGCAATTGTTTGCTTCTTTTCCATACGCCATATGGGCATATGGTACCTTCACTACATTAGTTCATTATTATTACTTATTTAGTTCTTTTTAACCAGTGAAGCTGTGCTTGGCTCTGTACTAGGTAAAAATAAATAAATGAGTAATCTTACACCCCAGGACAGTATCGTCCGGAACAGCATAATGATGATGTCTGTAACGTATCATTTACTATTGTCTTTACATACTAACTTATTCTCCCTTTATGTTAAACCAATGAATTATATTCTCTTAGTAATTTATTCACTTGTCAAAACTGAATGTTAAGAAGCCCTAAGGTTTGCCCTAAACTTACAATAGAATTTAAAGGGCAAGTATTCAAAATTCAGCTTCAAGGTTTGGGCCTTTTGTACAACCTTACAAGTGCTTTCTGAGTGTTATCATTTTGTCAGTATGATTCTGACCTGATTTGCATTCCTCACGTTTCTCTCTTTAACAGGTTTGAGTTTGCACATATAAGTTACAAGTTACTGCAAGCAACAGTTGATTTGAAGGTACCTTGCAGATGCAAACCAGACACCTTTTGTTGAACGTTCAGCTTTAAAACAAGAGGAGATAAGACAGAAAGGGTTTGCAAATGGAAATGTCACGACCCACGGATCGGGGAAAAGTTTTCAAAAAACCACCACTAATTTCTGATATTGTAGGTTTTCAAGCGTCCTAATTGTGGATTGGAGATCCTGAATTTTAAAAAGATGTTGAGGAGCCCAAAAGGAGAGTATGCTTTGAAAATATTATTATGTGGGCATAATAATGATGATTTGGGTAACTTGAGATGTTCTTTTCATAGATTCCTGGAGAATTCTGGCTAACATGAAGGAAACCACTCATTTCTAAGGAATTTGGAAAAAAGAAATGAAAAGTTCAGAGGATAGTGAAGGCCTTCCCACTTGGGAGAATGCAGCCATAAATCTTCTTCGTGAATATGAAGCTCATCTTAAGCTCATTAAATAATTCAGAGCCAGAAAGAAAATTAACTTCTGTATTTTTAGTCTGATACAGTGTACAACAGCATACTATATTTTTATCTAGCAAGAAGGAGTCTATCAAATACAAATGTAACATGTACGATGATCCTTCATTCTAGCTCTAACACAGATGGTTATCCCTATAACAAATAAATAGGCAGGCTCGGAATCAAGAAAGGATAAGAAAAATGATAACCAAAAGAAAAAGAGAAAAAAGGCCCAGTGCAGATGATCTTGTGAGACACTACTTGATCCAACTCTCCTTAAGACCTCATATCTCAAAATCACAGTAGGATATCAGAGCCTAGGAGCACTTACTGGGGAATACAAATACGGATAACTGCAACTCAGACCACCTGTTAAACACACAGTCATATAGTATTCTGTCAGGCAGGTTCAGGGCAGTTTGGAGCATTTCGCTCTGCAATATACTCTATTTCCTCTGGAGCCCTCCATGTCCACCTCTTTCAAGTTCCTTGCAAACTTGGGAACTGTTGAGCATTTTTATTTTCTTTTTAAATATCCTTACTTTTTATGGTAATGTCTGCGCTTAGGAATAAAACTAACTGAAGAAGAACAGCTTCCCCAGTTTTATAAACTTGGACATTTTACTGTTCGTTTTCCTTCTCCACTGAAACATTTCTGCAAGGTAGTTTTATGTTGGACCTGCCAGTGTTGGCAAGCCTGCGCTGATGATACAGCATGGAGAATGCCAAGGTTAAAGTCTATACCCTGTTGTCGTTCCTTCACATGCCTCTAATTTTTCTTCCCCAGTCATCACATTACTTCTTAGGGTGCTTATCACCAAAATCTTTAGTGTTTATTCCTACGGGTCCTTGAATGTTGTAAGGGAGGAAAATGAGATGAAGATATTAACATCTTTTGGGACTGTGTTGGGGGAATCAGATAAATGTAAAGGAATGCCGCATGAGAAGTCCTTTCTTCTAAGCCAGGTCTGCAAGCTCACAGATTCACCGCAATCCCTTCCTTGAGTCCAGGGTATTTGAGGCAAATCCAGAAACCTTGTCAGGTCCTACAGATTATCACAGTGGGCTACGAGATGGGTGCATATTAAAGTGTTTCCTGAGCTTCTGGAGAAGCCAGTCCTGACCTTTGTTGCCAACTTGTGGGGTGCCCTTACACAGGTTATTTAAAAGAGAGTTTTCAAAGGCATGCCTGGAAATGTGGTAAGTGACAGAGAAAGGTATTCACCTGGGAATGCTTAGAATAAGTCAACTGGAGTCAGGATTATTAAATTCTCCTGCTGTCAGTGACTTGCAATGCATAACTCGCACTGATTTGAGTAAGCCGCTTTGTTGTGGCCTCTGTTTATATTCTGGTCTTCCGAACCTTTAAGACTTCTATTAGGCAAGTTTCATAACATTTAAAAAGTAAATTAGTGATAAATATATCCACACTTAATAACACTGAAGAAATATCTTCACCAAGCTGCAAAGATTGCATGGATAATTCAATCTATAGATTTACAAATAATTTATTCAGTTATTATTTTAACTAGTTTTGCTGTATGAATGAATTAAACAGCTGGCAGCTTGCCTGTCTGTTCATTGCTCTGCTCCTTTCTCTCCCATTTCTAACGCAGCTATTTTTGCTCTTGCCCTAGCTGCAAATATGGCATCCTTTTTACTTCACAAACATCCTCTCCAAACAAGTTAGACAAGGGAGACGCTGGAGTGTGAGGTGATCTTTCAGGGCGATTCAAAGACGTGTTTTCTTATATGATTTACTAAGTGTTCTCAGAAATATTGTTTCATTTCATAACATCTCCAGTTTGGGGTTTTTTTTGGCAATCTTCTTTCCTAGTACAGTGGAGCAGATTTCTGAATGAGGTTGATGAGATTTGTAATATACCCCGAGTTAATTTAGACAGCAGGTTAGTCCCCTCAACAAAACTGTGGCCCATATACAAGTCAAATCTGCTTTTTTCCTTGGGCAATGATTTATTTCCCTCTTAAATTGGCTGGACCAGTTAGTTTTTTATTTTTATTAAGTCACACTATTCTTAAATGAAACTATTGATTTAAAGTCAGCTTAGTGAGGATTTAATTTGTTTTCAGGGGATTAGAGCAGGTAACATGGGATAATTTTACAATAAAGTGGAATAGAAGCATTCCTTCACATTACCCTCACCTTTTTTTCTTGCCAGGCTGCACAGACATTACAAATTTTCAAGTGAATTGTGGAAATACATTCATAAATCAGGCCTAATTCCTCTGCCTGCTTAAGGGCTATTCTAAAGAATATTTTCCTTTGACCTTGTCCATGTTTGTCCTTCCATGGGCAGGTGCATCTGATAATTCCACACAAACACAGATTCACACAAAATATTTTTGTGTCCACAGTAGGAATTGTAAACAGGGGCATTTGTTGAGAAATACAAGACCAGACATGTTTTTTAATACAGTGCTACAGAGTGCTTTTCAGAGAGTTTTAAAATAGCACTATATTGCTCACAAACAGAGGGATAGTTATAGTTATTTTTGGCACGCCTCTATAGCGTATATAGTGGATATGTTGGTTTTTTAATATAGTACTTTGTTTTTAATCTGTGCTCCATGTAACTTCATGAAACCTCTTCCCTCTTTGTCATTCTGTCTTTCAACCGCATCTAACACACCTGCAACAATTTCTGGGATTTCACTTGATAATGTGCAGCCTCCTTTTGCTGCTATTGCTCTCTGTGAATTGAGTAGGGGTAGGATCTACAGTCCCAGGTAATGTTACCCCAAAATCAGGCATCCCCCTTTTGACTGTTTCCTCTTTTTGGTTACCTTGCTTGTTTTCCTTTGCTGTCCTCTGCTTTTGACACCACATCCTTGCTAGGAAATATTAGAAACCTTATCGTACATAGCATCTTTCCCATTGCTCACACACATGGACCACGTTCATCCTGACTCTGCTTTTAACTTACGTGCAGCACATACATGCTCCACCAAGTTGTGGGAAAACACAACATGACCAGCCCTTGCTGCAGCACTGAGCATCATGTCCCTACCTGGGCTCCTTCACTTCTCTGCCCCAGCTTCCCAACCCCTGGGAAGCCAAAGGCAGCAGCAGGGTCACTCTGCTGACTGCAGATCTTCCTCTTCCATGCTTTTCTATAGTCCTTTTCGCTCCATCTCTGTCTTGTGGGGTGTGAGCAGTGTTCCTCCCTGCTACTACCGAGTGTAGTAGGGAAAAAAGGGTCAAATTTTGTCCTTATGTCCTTACTGAGCAGAAACTGTCCCACAGTTACTTGGCTCCTGGGAATAGAGATCTTTTTTTTCTTCTCCCTAGATTCCTGATAAACATGGAGATGGATATAGGTGGACTGATCTCAAATATTTATAAGGGCAAAAGAGAAGAGGAAGGACAACTGGAAGAGCCAGAACAGATACCTGGTTAGGAGAGGGCAGGAGCCCTCCCTTCCCCAAGGCAAGACAGGCCCAGGATGGGAAACACCTGCCCTGCTGATGCCACCGTGTGGTTTCCAGGTCTCTCAGGGCTTATTTTAGGGTGGGAGATCTCTCCCTCTTTCCTCTCCTTTTATTTATTACACCATGTCCTCCTGCAGGTGAAGGCTTCTTTTGCTCTATTCCTGTTACAGTCCCGTGGACTGCCTGGCTTTTGAGGGTATTTTTCTGTCTCTGTTACTTAACACAGTTGGCTTCTGATTAGACTTTCTATTGTAGGTGTTGCTGATAAAATTTCAGCAGGCACATATGGACTCAGCTCTACATTTATTTTAAACCAGATGCAGCTCACTGGCTGGTTTGGTTCCCCCCCCCCCCCCCCCCTTGCTATATAAATATGAGATCATAAGCAGTAGAGAAGGAAGAAGGAGATGGTTCTTGGAAGACAGAGAAAAAAAACCAGCACATATTCTCCATTGCACTGCTTATAAGGACTGTGTTTTATTATTATTATTTATTTAATGGGGGGGGGAGAAAAAAAAAAAAGCTTTTCACACACCACAGTCTACAATTTTATGAGATCCACATCTGGAATCCACAGCATCTCAGGAATCAATCTATCAGGCCCTAGTCAATCGTAATAGTGCACCTGGGGTGAAATTCTGGCTCCATTAAAGTCAGCTGGAATTTTGCCATTGCAATGCAAAAAGTGATGGCTGATGTAGGCTACTCCACATTAACTCTTGGGCAGAGTGAGATGGCCTATAAGTTGCCAATATTTCCAGATTTGGCTTAACATTCAAGAAGAAAAAACCCTCGATCCCACGTCTCTATACGCAGTAAGAAAAAGTAAGAGTTATAATGAGGTCGTAGTGATTGTACATTTGGCTGTTACTGGAATAAATGGTCTAAGTGCTCATGAACTTTTTTTCTTTAGTAGAGGCTTTTAGGATTAAACAGAAATATTGTTTGTTGTACCTCAGGGTGAACATATATATTTGTGTGTGTGTGTGTGTGTGTATGTAAGCCATCCAAAATCCTGCTTATAAATATCCATTTCGCTGTGCTTTTTCGAAACCTTCCACTGGAAATGCATTTCCCACTGTAAAGAGTATATCCCCATTACCTACCCATCAGTCAAATCAACTCATTTCTGAAATTCAATTAAAAGGGTCTCATTGCCATAAATCAAAAAGGATATTTTATTGTTACTTTGTAATTTGGAAGAATGAAAATTAAAACAGTGGCTCTGACGGAAAGAAATGGCTACTAAATCATAATGATATTTTGCAGTTTATCTGCTCGTTGCCATTTTATTTCAGGTATTTCAGAATGGAAGGACGATGTAGTGACTTGCACACTCTATACTAGTTTTATTTATTTTTTTGGCTACTCCAAGCACTTGTCTAAATCTTTTTTATGGTTGTTTATCTAAGTTTCTCCCAAATGTTTCATCAATTGCTATCCCTGTTCTTTTATTCCACATGTTAACTGCTTCCTGTGTATAAAAGACAGTTTGCTTAAATTCCTTCGGCTCTTGACCTATTCTTACCCTTGGCAGAGATGCTCGGTAATTTTGGGATTTTTTTTTCTTTTTTTCTGAGCGTCAATTGAATTGTCTTAGTGTCAGATAAAATGATCAGAAAGGCCACATATGTGTCATTTAACTTGTGAACTTGGCTAAAGATACAATAGATTTAATGAAATGGGTGCGAGGTGGGGGACAACCAGAGGTTGAAATTGAAGTTCCCATGCTCTGACTACTGATGAAAATTGAAAAGAATAAGCATGTTAAGGGGCATTTATTATCAGCCACAGTGACTAGCAGTAAATAATGAAAATACTGCTGCTCTGAGGAAAACACAACGTCAAATCTATGACCCATCTTTCAGATTTAGCAAGAGTTTTACTAGGGAAAAAAAAGAAAAAGATCCATTTCAGCTACGTGTTGCTTCAGTATAGAGATTACAAGGGGCCAAACTCATTCTGTCTGGTTTAAAACCCCACTCAAAACCCATAATACTGGAAGTTTTGCTTCAGCTGAACTGTTATGCATTCTGCCTAGAAATGTTTCTGGAAAAAGAAAAGATCCACTGAAAACCCAGAGTGAAAATGAATTTACCAGCTGGCAGAGTGAAAAATCACACATACCAAGGAGATCGTGTGCAAGGAGAAGGGATGAGAGCAGGGGGTATCTAATAAAAAAAATGAACGCAGCATATGTGCCATATACAATGTATATAGAAGAAGGACTTTGGCCTGTTCGGTAGAAGATGTTAGCCAGAATACTGAATGTAATTAAGCTTTCATTTGAGTTGAATGCAAACATTTGCAAGCATAGACATATGCATAGCGTCTCTACGCAATGAAAACGTGGTTTTAAATTTAACCTGGAAGAAAGATTTATGCGGCCAGCTCTCCTTGGTAAAAACTGGTGCAGATCCACATAACAACTACCACAAAATTTGGTTATCTCTTGTTACCACGCCCCTTGAAAGCAAAACCTTTGGGGGGTCATATAGAGCCCGCGAGACCTCTTCGCTGGGCTCCACATACCAGGACAATCCCTGTTCTCTTTAATGGAAGTTGTGCCTAAATAAGGGCTATTACCCAGCCCCTAATAGGGAGAGTGGTGTAACTTGGGTTGCTCACCGTGCTCAGCACCGCAGCTGAAGTCTACTTTTCCCTTCCCTTCAAAGGTCCCCGCGGCAGGTGAGGCTCTTTCCCTTCCTTTGCTCCGAAGATTAAACACAACAAAAGATGTTTTCTGTAAAGCGAGGTACGCAGCGTAGTTTTGCCTTCTGTCTAGCTGATGTACTAATGTGTAACTGTAGGGTTTAATTTTACTTTACATTAATCAAAGAACAATAAAGGCCATAAAAACCCCACTAAGAAGCATTTCAAGTTAAGATCCAAAGCTAAATGCCATGGGAGTTTGCCTATTGTCTTGTTTAGTCCCCCTGTAAAAAGAGCTAGATAGCACGAGAAAGAAAGAAAAATTGAGCCCGTGTTTTTTGCATAGGGATGGAGAAAACACGTAATAAATTAGGGGGAGGGAGGAGTGAAATAAAGGCCAGAGGTAAACGACGTTTAATTGTGTGAGCTGCTCTTCCTCTTGTGGTTCCTGCCAGCTGCTGCTGCTATTGCTACCTTCCTGTTTTAAGATGAAAGCAATGATGGTAGACACGTGCAGACACACAAAAGAACCTATTTGGACTGGTGTGTCAGCTCATCTTTATCAAATGTTGCACAGGTATATTTTGTTGCCATGCTTCATTACCCCAGAATGGCGTGCCTGAAATGTTTGTCTCTTCTATAAACCCAATAGCTTTCCCAGCGAGTCACATTTGACAGAGCAATAGACAGGTATTTGCTTGCTGGCATCCGTTTGTAAAGCCCGGGCAATTATATATATATTATCCATATATACATACATATATATACATACAGGGGAATAGAAACACACACACACATATATATATGTATATAAACACAAAGAACATAAGAGGGAGATGTATTATTGTATTATTTGTATATAGAGACTAGGCATGTATATATACACTATAAAAGGGATACCCAGTACAAAAATACATGCATACTTGTATCAAAATTAACATATATGCTTGTACAAAATTAGTAAGAGAAAGTAGGATTTTAATATAAATTTCTTGATCAAATAAAGAAAAAACTTTAGTCAAGAATATAATACTGGAAAAGATAGGTGGATATTCTCTTAGGAATATTTTATTTATAGGGTTTTCCACTGGGGAAAAAAAGCCCAAAATCTAAGACCTATCATCACTTTTGTCTGGAACTAATGTTAGCAGTAGCCCTGTTCAAGAGAAGGAGGAAATGAGCATAAAAGGAAGAATAAAATGAAGCATTTTTTTTTCCTGGGGAAAAAGGCATTATTTGGAGGAAAAAGCTATGAGGGGAGAAACCAGCCCCAGCATGTGCTTCGGGGCCCTTCTGCACAAACAGCCAGCCACGAGGGATTTACAGGCACATCTGCAGAGGGACAGGAAGATTCAATAACAGCGTGGCCACCTTCGTTAGTTTTAAACTAATTCACGTGCTCCTGCTTGCTATATTACTTAAAAATATCAGATTGTTCATCTGTAGCATGATGGTAATATTTTCCTTCTTCATAAGAGGATGAAGCTGAGGGCTTGCGTGCTTCTCCCTGACGAGCTCCTGTTCTAGTTGTACTGAAGATGCACACACACCAAAATGCATGTGTGCTTATAGTAGAGGAGGGAGGACTAACTACACTGCCAAATACTCTTTTAGATAGAAAGAAAGCTGCGAACCTGGGAATTGCGAGGTTGGTGCCGCTTGCCCCACCGTCCAGGGCGGAGGGCTAATGGCACGGAGGCGGATGGAGCCCCAGTGTAACCACACAGGACTTGCAGGGTGCTTACATCCCAGTGTGGTAACAGCACTGAAATTACTTGATGGATACTATTTTCATTATTATTACTTTAATGCACCGTTGTGGACACACCGTTCTGTACTGTAAAAAAGTAACAGAAGCAAAATACAGGCCTTATATATGCAATTACATCCACTGCAGCTCAAAGAGAAGACAATTAGTGGAGTGCATTCCCCAGAAAGCCATCCACGGAGGTCAGAGTTCGGGAGTAACATTTCCTTTCTCCTCTCTCCTCCCGGAAAACCAGACATTAGCAGCATCAAATCATCCGCAGAGCACTCTAACTAAAAGGAGAACATTATGGGTAAGTAACAAGCAATGTAATTGCCTAAACAAACAGAGTTTAGACAGGAAGACTGTGATCCTACCGTTTCTAAAACGTGGTTGTGTTTGGATTTTTTTTTTTTTGGTTGGTTGGTTTTTTTTGTCTGTTTTGTGGCATATTTTTGGTAAGTTTCGGTTTGTTTTTTTTTTGGTTGTTGTCTTGCTGGTGTCTAATGCTAAGAAACAGTGTAATACAGAGAATGCTGCCTTGATTTGTTGCCAAAATTAAAATTTGCATCTTTTAGTAAAATTATGATGCGTGCCTGCTCACAGGAAAGTGAGAAGAAAAAAT